ACACACTGAAGAAGCAGCAATAACCCCCCCAGACAACATAATTCCATTACACAAGAAATACAAGACACAAGTACCGGACTGACGCCCCGCCCAAGGTCCCCTAAGGGTCTCATTCTCGGGGCCCTCAGCCCGGACCCTCTTTACCTCAGTTCTCAGCTCGGTCACCGCTTCACACACTGCAGCCTTGCAGGCCTCTAACGTCACAACTCCCCCTCCTCGGCGCGCTCCCATTGGCCCCCATACTCTGTCAGTACGGAATGCCGACTCGTGATTGGCCGAGGAGGACGTCAATCAATGGCGGCCATGTTAGTGTAGGCCTAGAGAGCGCCGCGTTTGCTGTGTCACCCAGTGATGGGGGGGAGGTGGTTGGGGGACGTTATACGAGGTCACAGGGACTCATTGTGACGTAACGTCACGAGCTCTAGTCAGTCAGAGACCTGCCAGCGAGGCCGGCCCGTAAGTTCCCGTTCAGCTTTATGGATGGCCACATCTGAGCGTGAGAGCCCAGGCCTAGCTGCTGACGCTTGTTTATTTGGTAACACAGAGGGGCCACAAAGCTCCGGAGCCGTGGCTGACAGTCCCCGAACGCGGCCGTCCGGCGTCAACTGCGAGCCGACGGCATGCACCACTGACCACCCGACGCAGAACTGCAGCAGCGTTGACAACGCCCCCCAGACGTCCACAAACGGCTGCGTTTCCCAGGAACGGCCGTCCGTCGGTGGCGTTGAGCCAAACGCTGGTGGCCCCCAGTCTTTCATCGACCAGGACGCCACGTCTAGTCCGCAGGGTGCCGATGAGCCGCGTGTGTCCGTGCGAGGGATGAAATCATCTCGGCTCATCGTGGACACCGACCTCCTCATCAGCGAGGTGAAGAAGCGTCCGGCCGTGTATGACCAGCAGGAGGATGACTACAGCGACCGCACCAAGAAGCAGCAATGCTGGGAGGAGATTTGCGGGGTCCTTGTGCCAGGCTGGGAGGAGTGCACGCAGCTGGAGAAGTGCCGCAAGGGTAAAAGAATGCGTGTTCTGCTCCGATACTTACCCGATACTGGAACAGCTGGTCAGAAGGAGCATGGAGGCAGCTTCCTGGCCAATCAGGAAGCCTGGCGAGGGGTCATGACCCGCCTCAGGGCTTCCTTATTGGCTGGGAAGACGGCTCACGCTGCCTACTGACACTGCCAGGCAGCCTTGCTTCCTGACCAATCAGGAAACCGGGCAGTGGATCATGACCTATCACCCTGTTTCATGATTGGTCAGGAAGCCAGGGTGCCTCGCAGTGTGGTGAGGTAATAAATGTCAGTCAAAGTACCGCAGCGCTGAATACTGAAAAATGGCCTGGATGGGAAGGGGGTTTAACACCGCGGATGTCAACTGGTTAAAGGAGAACTACGGGGTAAGGGTTTTTCCCATAGGTCTCCTCAGGGTCACGGGAGGACATACACTACTGTCCTCCTGTGACCCAAAGCTCAGTATATCACGAGCTACAGCTCGCAGTATACTGAGTGCCGAAGCCGGGAAGGATCCCGACATTACTATCGAGATCCACCCAGCTGCATGAGTGACAGCTGGCTCTGCCTATCTAGAGGCAGAGCCAGCTGTACCTGCCCCCTCCCACGTCTGTTCCTCCAATCAGCGCTGGAGGATCGGAGGGGGGAATCCCTGCGGGGAGCGGTGACTGACAGTCTCGGCTGTCTGCAGGGAGAGGATCGGGAAGTGAGCGAGCGACGGTATGTGTTCACTCACCTCCCGATCTATAGAGCCGATGTGTGACAGTTTCTTTGTCACACGTCGGCTCCAACTATGAGGCTGAGTGGAAATCACTCACCTCATAGTTCTCCTTTTAAGCCGCCTTTGCAGGCAGTCAGGAGGACTTCCTGATTGGCCAGGAAGCTGGGCCCACGCTACCTCGCCGGTAAAAAAATATCGGTACCAGATACTGAAAAACCGGTATGAGTGCACTGACCCTAACACGCACTGACGCATCGTACCAGCCATGCCCATGACAATACACGGCGCACAGTCTTCAATTTACAGAGAATTTCCAGCATGAGACAAAGAGGAAACCCGGGGCGCAAAAACCTTTCCTGATAGGCTGGTGTCCCCAATACTGTCTACACATAGACCCCGTCCCAGTCCCCCCTCTGAGACTAGGGGGGGACACTACAAGACATGCATGACATACACGGCCAACCGCATGTATACAAAGAAAGAGTAGACAAGGGGTGACATTGTTTTGCTGTCTAGTCCCGTTTGGGAGATTTCCCTTCACTTCCTGTAGGGTAAAATGCAACAGGACGTGAGAGGAAGTCACTTCAGTGAGGGAAATCCTAGACATGTGTCAGTGCAACAAGTGTTCCCATTGGAAAATTTCCCCTCACCTGGGAGAGATTTTCCCTTCCACACCCCGTGCAGTTTTATTGGAGAATTCTCCCTTACTTCCAGTCCTCGCACAGTGTTATTGGGGATATTTCCCTTCACTTCCTGTCCTATAGCCACAACAGGAAGTGAGAGGAGATGTCTCTAAAGCAAGGAAAATCCTCTCCACAACAAGTGTCCCCATTGGAAGATTTCTCCTCACCTGGGAGAGGTTTTCCCTGACTTCAAGTGCCAGTGACACTGGTCACCAGGACAAATAGTGCGGGAAAATCTCCCCCAATTGGACGCTGATGCCGTTCTGACTCTTTACAATTCTTCAGACTGTAAAAAAATTGTGGCTTTAGATACACTTGTCAGAACCTTTTTAATGGATAGAGTGAGGAAGAGTCTTTTTGGGGTTTGCAGTGTTATTGGGGAGATTTCCCTTCACTACCTGTCCCATGGACACAACAGGAAGTGAGGGAAGATGTCTCCAAAGTGAGGGAAATCCTCTCCACAACATGTCTCCATTGGAAGACTTTTCCCTCTCTTTTCCGGTGACAACTTAAACAGTTCTTCCAGTCCAGGTGACAATCCTATCCAGGACATAGAGTGTAAATCTCCCCAGCAGCAATAAAAACCAGACAGGGCTGACACCCCTTCTCCGCTCCTGCCGCTGATCTCACGCTGTTCTTCTCCCTGAAAGATTTTCTCTTTTTTTTTTTTCCTTTCCAGCCAAAGAGATCCAAACCCGCTGGAGGTCCCTGAAAGATTGCTTCCGGAGGGAACAGCACCTACAGAAGAAGGAAGCCCGGGGGGGGTCCTCGCCCGCCAAAAGGAAGCGCTACATGTTCTACGATCAGCTGACCTTCCTGGAGCCCATGCTGATGAGACGCTCGTAAGTGACAGGCGCTTAAAGGGCAAAGCTCAGATATCATCCCGCAAGGCAGGAATGTGGACTCATCCACGCAGGGAATAATATCTGTGAGACGTTGTCCTCAACAGGGCTCGTTCACACACGCACACGCAGGGGGTCCGTGTACTGCAAAGACCACCCGGAGCGCAGCGCGCCG